GCCGTCCCTCCCTGCCCGCTCGGGAGCGGGCCGAGCCCCGAGAGCTCGCCCGGTGGCGCGGGCAGAGCAAAGGGGACCGCTGGCGACGGGACATTGCGCTGTCTGGGGAGACCTTTTGCCCTGTCAACCAGGAACAGGGAAGCACCTGGACCTGAAGGCATTTGTGTCAGAGGCAAGGGAATGTGATTAGGATAATGGGCTAATTATTGTTTATCCTACTGAAGGTCACAGGCGCTTCATGGGGAGGCGACATGAGGACGAGTAAGTAGAGAGGCAATGTGCCGCGGGGAGGAGCTGGTCACAGTCCCTTTGGAGCCGTCGGCTCCCTGGCCCGGCTGGATAACTGGGCGTCCCGCTTTGCGCATGCGGCACGGACGGGCGGCAGCGTCTGCCGCTGGGCTTTTGGCGGGCTTGGGACGTGCGAGGAGGCTGTGGTTGGCCATGTGAACGGAAAGTCTAGAGGCAAGCCTGCCCCAAGGCGCCTGCGCCGTGGTACGGGAACTGCCAGGCCCGTGTCCGTGGGGCTCCGTGGTCGTTTCCGCCCCTGGGAACGCGTGGGAGTTGGGCTCGTCGTGGCATCCCTAGCTCTGGACTTCAGATCTGCGGCTTGCTGAGGGCGGAAGTGGGCTTTGTCCTTTAAGACTCTTCCCCTGTTTCAGACACTCCTCTGAGAGGCTGGGCAGCATGGGCCCCTAACCAGCCAGGAAGGGGAACTTGCTGGCAGGGCTGGTGGTGCCCACGGCGTCTGAGGGCTTGGGGGAAGCGACCACAAAGTGAGCCTGTCTCAAACACCCCTCATGGCAGGGGGGAACCACAGCAAGTGAAGGGTCGGGCTCCCCTTGAGAGGAGCCTGCTGTGGAAGTCCATAGAGGACACAGCAGTCCTGGCCCAGCAAGTAATTTGGGGGCCAGGAGAGCAGTTCTGCAGAAGACCTGCTCTGTTTCAGGGTGACAGCAGACAGTTGCAGCCCGAGTTTTGCTCGGCTCAGTGCTGGGCCTCGCGTGTAAGAGAATCCTGACTCTGAAGTTACCTCTACAGGGACTGGAAATGGAGCTCATCTGAGACTAGCTGTTTGCTCCTGGCGGGGCGCCCCAGACTGCAAAGCCTGGCTATACTGGCACAGGCCTAAGGTCACTGTCACCTGTGGCTCTCCCAGATTGGAAATGAATCCTGCTGTTGAGTGGCGGGGCAACATTGCAGAGCTCCAGCTGCACTGACTCATTTGCCTGCTGCTCTGCGGGGCCCCAGCGAGGCAGCCGCTGGCTGCTCGTGCGGCTTCCTGCCCAGCTGAGCAGTGACGCTCCTAATCAGACCCAGGAGCAGGCCTTTTGCTGTGCTTTGTCTTATTGGCCACACACAAGCAGCGCTGCGACCCCTGTGTTAGATGGGGACCCTGAGGGACAGGGGTGCAGCGCTCTGCCGGGGTCACCAGAGCTGCAGAGCCTGCCAGTCCTGGCCCTTTCCCCAGAGAGGGTGCGAGGACAGCACTATCTGCATGGGAGTGTGTGGCCCAGGGCTGATCTGGCACCAGGGCAGAGCTCCAGCCCCAGATGAGCAGCGCAGTGTGCAGGTGACTCAGTTTGCAGCCTTTGGGTGGACTTTGTGTGCTGATGCAATACCTCCGGAGAAGGCTCTGCTAGCGAGCAGGGCTCATAAACAGGGCAGGGGTGTCACCTTGCCCGTGTCTGCAGTGAATCATGAACGTGGCAGTGCAGTGAGTCAAGACAGGGTGCTGGGAGCTACGAGCACCACGCCAGGCACCTCAGCAAACAGCCTTTGAGGACTTGAGAGACCACTGAGACATGTAGTGAAATGAGCTGCTGAAGTGTGAGGGCTACCAGAACAGCCAAGAGACTGAGCTTGACCCATGGCCTAAGCCTCAGCCTAGTGTAGGTTAGGGTTAGGTAGAGATGGCTGTGACCCTGGAGACAGGTCACCCCCAAGCAGACCTTTGCAACCCCTGATTGAGTCCTGTTTCCCCCCAGAGCTCTGTGTGGGGTCTGTGGTGGGGCACAAAGCGCATGGCAGCTGTGCTGGAGCCAGTGGTGGAGGAGTCCCCACAGCTGAAAGCACTAGAGCTGCCACTGAGCTGTGAGTGTTCCTGCCATGGTGACACTTTCCCAGCTATTTTTGACTTATTTTCTGTCCTCCAGCAGAGGAACACCTCCTTATTATCCTAGTGCCCTGAGTTAGGGCTCCCTCATCTACCAAAACAGAATAAATATCTGCTCTGTTGCCTTGGACTCCTTGTCTTTGAAGGGCTCCTGTAAGCCATAGAGGCGAATGCAATAGTCCCTGGTGAGCTGTGACTGCTCTCTGGGAGTGCCAGGCCTGCAGCCCCTTAGCTCTGGGCACCCAAATCTCTGCCCTGGGGCCATAGATAACACGACTGCCTCTTTTTAACTGCCTTGGTATCAAAAATTGATCCATGGGCCCTGATCATCTTTTGTTTGCACCTTGGATTACAGCTCTCCACCCCAGTCCGTTAGTCATCACTGGAGCTATGTGCATCCCTGTTGTTTTTTTGCAAGGCCATTTCTGTCACTCTTTTCTTTCCAGCTGGAAGTGGGGGGGGGGTTTTTTGGTGTGTCGTCCCCCCCTCCCCCCCCCACCCCAACATTAGAGGCCTGGTCACTGCCCAATCCAGGGAAAGAAAAAAATCAAGGCACTGAAGTGAAGTAAGAAGTTGGCTCCTTCTGAGGTTGGCTTGCTGTAATCTGACAGTGCAGCCCTCTCTGCTTCCAGATGTTGGGGACAGCTGTGCCAGCACTGTCACAAGGTGGTGCCTGTTCCGTGCCTGGGTACTGAGGCTTTTCCAAGCAGCAGGACAACAATAAACTTTGAAAGTAAAACAGTTGTGTTAAGTGTCCAGTGAGCTTCTTGCTGATCACTGTTTACTCTTAACAGGAAATCAGCTAAGTTATGGTCACTTCTAAATTCTGCACATCATAAATAATACCCTGAACACAGAATGATTATGAATAAAAGTCAAGACACCTTTGATGTGTATTCATGAATAGTGGAGTCTTTCTGCTGGGGCTTCTAGCTTTATCGCAATAAAGGCGGCTGCTGCTGGGGGTGCAGGCAGGCAGGGTTGGCGCGTTTGTGTTCTGTTTGGTGAATGCTCTCAGTGATGCTGAGGCAGATCGGTGTCGGCTATGTGCACCCACCTGCTCGTGCTGCACAACGGCTGATGGTGCTGCTTGTTGCTGTGTAGCCGCGTCCGACGGCGGGTTTGCCCTGCTGACGGGGGCACGGCCCATCGCTCTTCGAGGGTTAGCTCGATCTCCTAGTCCTTGTTCCCAGCTCTGCCTGGGAGCTACGACAGATCCCAGGAGCATGGAGAACCAGCAGAAAAGGCTCTTATGCCAGTAGGGGAGGAGGGAGAACCTGGGTTATGAGGTACAGCCACACCAGCATAATGGTCTGGAGGGAAGAACTAGCCTCCTCTGGGAATAGTTACGTGGCTAGGCCGGGTGTTAACTTTTTTTTGTTTATCTGATGGAAATGGTATCTGCCCTTTGCAATCACAAGGCGTTGTTGGCTCCCGGGGGTGCTCTCTGGCAGGGTAATAGGAAAAGCAAGGTTGGTGGGTGTATTCCCAGCTGCATGTGGGCACGTTCAGGGTCCCTCTCCTAACTGTGGGGGTGTCTCAGATCCTGCTGCGTGGAGAGGCCAGCTGAGATGTGTCTCTGCTCTGCAGAAGTGAACGTCTTTATTTTGCTTTGCGTGCTGGTAGAACATCTTGCTGCTAATGCACACTGCTTGAAACAGACCAAATCCTTGGAGCAGGACTTGGTTTAGCAGTGCAGCATGCCAATAAGGCTGTGACCTTGAATGGTACAGGGCCTAATATAGGAGGATGTGGTGCTTATTCTGCGTAGCTCTGATGGATGAAGATTCCCCCATCTGCGTCTCCCATCGTCCCTAGCATCCCTGCCGTGGCTGTCTTCGTGCAGCTCCTTGTCCTCGCGTTCCTCGAGGCGTTCTGGGTCCTGGAGGTCTTGGGTGTGCTCAGTCCCTTCTGTTGCATGTCTCTACAGGAGGATTGAAGACTGCCTGCCTCCCCTGGAGGACTCTCCATCCAAGAGGTTCTCTCCCTCCAAGCGAAAGCAGTATTATATCAACAAGGCCATCCGCAACTCGGACCTCATCCCCAAAGCCAAGGGGCGCAAGAGCCTGCAGAGGCTGGAGAACAGTAAGGATCCGTGGGCTCCAGGCAGCCTCTGGGAGCTGACTCTTCCCGTGTTGGGTCTCTCTTCAGGGGCTGTCTGCAGTGTGTTAGGCAGGTGGAATCTGGCCCAAATCCTCTTGCTCTCCCCCATGCTGCATGGTGCAAATAGAAGTGATGCTGATGATGCAGGGCCTTTCTGCAGGCACTCCCTCCTGACTCAGGGGCTTTGTTTTTCTCTCCTAGCTCGATATCTGATGACGCTTTTGGAGCGAGATGAATGTGGGAATGACGAGGGAGAGCTTGCCCGCTCCGCTACCCCGAGCATCTTCGCCGAGGCCTGTAACAATGAGACCTACGTGGAGGTAGGACACAGATATCTGTCCAGCTCAGGGCTCGTTCAGGAGACCTTGACGTGTTCAGTCCCAGTAGTACGTGGTGTTTGTACCTTTCAGTCCCGGTCAGAGCAGCCTTCTCCCTCCCTGGGCTGAAGTGACGTTCCCAAACCCGCGCAGTTTTTTCATGTCAGAGTTGGGGGTGGCATCTGAGTGCCCAGCGCCCAGCTGTGGCTGTGTGGTGCAAAGCAGGAGGTCAGGCCTTAGGGCCCCTGGTCCTGTGGGGCAGTGGGGATCTCCAGGCGGTCTGATCCGCTCAGGGTGCAGGGCCAAATGTGCAGTGCAAGAGCCGGATCCTGCTCAGAGCCAAAGTCAGTTCGGAGGACCGCTCCAGCAGGGGCTGGCTGGGTCTGCTTAGTGGAGTCTGCTGCCTTCTCGTACAGTGCCTGCAGCACCGCTGTGTGCTCCCAGCACTTGCAGCGTTGCACAGCTTGTGCATGCAGAGAGATTAACCCTGTGCAGGCTGCAGCACTTCCTTCAGTGCAGGCCCCTTGCTAAACCCCTCTGTTGCTTCACTCTGCCCAGCTGGTATTGCAATATCTGCTCTGTGGCCAGGCGTTTTGAAACTTTGGCTTCTTTCCTATGTTTGATGTTCAGGGTTTTGACTCTGCATGGTCTCTGTGTGTGGACTGTGTGCGCTCTTGGCTCTACAGAGAGCTCTTCTCCTCTTGCTCATGCAGGCCAGGCTTAGCTTAGAAAGCCTACTGGAGACCTGGGTTTGAGGCTGGAATGCGTGGCTGGGCTATCATGGACTCCCAGCAACCTCTGTTGGCTCTGAGTGCTAAATCTGCGTCTCCTCCCAAAGCAATTGTTTCAAGCTGTTACGTACCGTCAGGACATGAAGATATGAGGGGAAAGATTGTTGCTGTGGCTTGTGTCAGCTGTGATCTGCCTCCATGCTGGCTTGGGCAGTGTCACAGCTGCAGAGCTCTGCCCAGCCCCATTTATTCATCTCTCTCTGAGCTGCCAGGATGATCGCTGTTACTTCTCTGGACTGGGCTGTCTCATCTGAACAGCTCCATGAAGGGTGGTGGGGTTGGGGTGGGTGAAGAGGAGACTCGTGGGGTTTCAGGTAGGGCTCCAAGTGGCAGCTGCGCACAGCTGGGTGCTCCCTGGAGACGTCTCTGCAATGGGGGCCTGGTGGCTTGTGTTGCCAGATCTGGAATGACTTCATGAACCGGTCAGGAGAAGAGCAAGAGAGAGTTCTGCTCTACCTGGAGGAGGAAGCCAGGAAGAAACATGAGAGGAAGCTGCCTGTGAAGAATGAAGACAAGTGGAAAGGTGCTGGGAGGGGAAGCCGGGCTGGGAGACCCTCTCCCTTTCCTCCCTGAGTACTTGCATGCGTTTTGGGAAGGGCTTTCTTCCCTGAGGGCTGCATCCTGCTCCCTGCACCGTCCGCTTGCAGCAGGGTCAAGGAGTGACTGAATTCAACCCTCAGATGCTGCAGGGAGGGGTTAGCATCTGGTGTACCCCGTCGTGGACCTGGGAGGGTTCGTGAGAGCCGGGGATGGCTGGCGTGACCGGCACAGCAGCCGTCCCCCAATTCCACGCCCACTGCGCTGCCTCCTGAATTTCAGCACCCTTCAAATGCTTCCTTGCTGGGGAGGGTGTTACTGGACTGGGGATGAGTTTGTGCAGATTCACCTTCCTCAAGCCAAAAAAGGTGGTCAGCTGGGATCCTCTGGGGCAGTTAGGGAGATTTTGGTCATCTTCTGAGTGGTGATGCCTGTTCAAGTCACTGCCATGTGGCGACAACCAGCACTAGCTTAGGGGCGCTGGGAATGCAGACCATATCCAAGTCCCTTCTGTCTTCTTTCCGCCGGCTCCAGAGCACCCTGCCTACACGCCCAAGGAGTGCTTCCAGCGCATCAGCCGCCGGCTTCGCTCCACCCTGAAACGGGGCAGGATCCCCATGGTGAGCTGGGGGTGACAGCCGGGGCGGCTGGGCTGGGGCAGGCAGGGCGCCAGGTGCCAGAACTGCACATGCAGCTTCGTCCAGGGACGTATCCTAAATATTGTCCCTTGACCTTGTGTGCGGGTGCTGAGCCAGAAGCGCCGAGTTTCAGATGAGCTCTTGGGGAACGTGCTCTGATTCTCTTCTAACCTCTGCCCTGGTGGCTGGCTGGGAAATTCTGGTCAAATTTAACTCCCTGTGTGGATGGGTCTTCCTGGCTCAGTATTCTCTGGTAGTTACAGGACATTTTTACCTGGTAGTTTCCCAGTCTCCGCTCGATGAGTGGCTGGTAATGGGAAATGAAGCCTCTTCACCAACAGAGGCAGCAAGGGAGCCTTTAGGGTGTTCAGAGTTGTCCCCACAAGGATATTTGGAAGAACTCAAAAGCATTTTGAGAGGGGTCAAACTGCATAAACCATTGAGTAGACAATTAAATCCTGAACTGGAAGACAAGCATGGCCTCGTGCCACCCGGCTTGGGGAGCCAAGCTGCCATACACAGCCTGCGTGCTGTGCTGCGTGGACAGACACTTGTTTTCCTGGGCCCTGGGGGTGCCTGGCTCGCTGCGCTCTCTTCTCAATGGTGCTGTTTTCCTGCTCTGTTTGTTTTCCTTGTTCTAATTAGAGCCCTGTCTCTAAAAGCAGCCTTGGCTCCTCCTGCCTGTTGGCTTCTGCTCAATTTGTTCTCAAATGAGACTTGCTTCTGCTGCATGTCTCTGGGGTCACAGTGCTCCAAAGAGCTGCATTCAAGCTGATCTTTGACTGTCAGGAGGAAAGGAGATGTGAGCCACAAGGCTTTTCTAGCTGCTGTTGCTCTGAACATGAGCCAACACTTGGCACACGAAGCATGGAGCTGGCAGGAGCAAGATTCTTCCCTGCCTCTGGGCCTGGAGAAGGGAGATGTGTTTTATTTCCTTGTGCCTTTCTGCCGTCTCGTGTCTAGATTGTCTGCCTTGGAGCTGCTGGGAGTCACTGCTAGGCCTCTGAGGCCTCATTGTGTGCAGACATGGCACAGGAAGATGGTTGTGATCACAAACTGCTTTGGGCTTTGTCCAGCCCCTTGCAACTCCTCAAAGGCAAAAACCGCATGTCTGTGAGAGGCACAGAGCTGTATGGGGACAGAAGCTGCTTTGCTTGCCCAGAAGGTGCTGATTTGGGCATGGGGAAACAGCTTTTGCTCTACATCTTTTGCCTGTTGCTGCAGGACTTGAGCAGGGCTCTGCCAGTGCTGCCCTCTCCGTGCTGACGGTCTTTGCTTCCTCTTCCAGGGGACCCTGGAGTGCCTGGAGGAGGAGCTGCTGGCCTTTTTCTCCGTCACCCCTCACTCAGTCTACACAGCACTGATGGACAACAGGTATTTCCACAGTCTCCCTTGTGCTCCCCGTATCTGATCCTTGAGTTTGCTGGGAGGAGCTGGGCAGGACAACACTTGGGGGGATGCTGGTCTGAGACATGCCAGCTCTAACTCTCCTGTTCCCCTTCTCCTCCAGCTTCGAGCGACTCCTGCTCCATGCGCTCTGCCAATACATGGACCTCGTCTCTGCCAGTAAGAGCCTCGCATTTGTTTGCTTGTGTTTTCCCCTTCTCTGCATTGCTATCTTTCCTCTCCAGCTCAGCCTCTTCCTCCCTTCCTCCTCCCAGCCCCACCTTCTGCTGCGGCTCACAGATAACCCTGCTTTCCTGCCCCCACTGCCTGTAACTCCTTCGGGAGCCTCAGCCACGCTCACGCTGCTTAGCCAGCAGCCGCGGCTGGTGGACGACATCGGTTACGGCCCGGGGTCAGGCAATCCCAGCGCTGCCTTGGCTGCAGTCCCCTTGCCCGCGTTGCCCTTGCCAAGGGTGCAGGGAGCTCTCCTGGGCTGACCTAACTGGGGCTGGATCCTGCCCCACATCCTGGGAGCTCAGCCCCTCTTGGGACTGAGCTGTCTCCTCGCACAGAAGGTTGCGCCTTGTCCCCACCATTTAGGCTTTACTCTGGGCTGAGCGTCCCTCCTGCTCCCGGTCGTCCTGTGCCTCTCCAGAGGCTCAGCGGCCTGGACGCCACGTGCGTGTGGCTTGTGTGGGCTGAAGTCCATCCGCCATGGTCGTGGCCAGGCCCAGCTCTGCCTAGGGACATCTCATTCCCAGCAGCGCAGCCACGTCTCCTCTTGTTTTTGGGTTTGGATGCTTGCCTGGCTCGCTCCTTGCGGCTGGTGGGGCCGCCCCCCGAGCGGCGCCCCGCCCGCCCCGCCCATGGGTTTCTTTAAAGGGTCTTGTTGCCAAGGCATCCTACAAGAGGCGCTGGTCTTTGCCTCTGCAAATGAACCTTTGCCGCTCAGCATTTCATTAGCAGCTGCCTGTGGAAAATGACAGAAGAGCTCTAATGATGTGAAGTGAAGCCTGTGGTGCCAGCAGGGATGTGTGGGGAGAGCGGACCGTTGCTCTTTCTGCATCTCTGCAGAGCATGGGGCAACCTTTGTTAGAAATGAGCTGCAGGGACTCATCGGGAGGAGTGGAGCAGCTGCGAGGAGAGAGCTGCAGCTGGGCCGGGGATGTCCCACTTGGCACCTTCCTGCAGCAGGATGCTGTGGGACCCCCTGGCTGAGGGACAGTGGTACCTTAACCGCTCTGACTTGCCCCCAGGTTCAGACATCGAAGGGAAACGCCAAATGAAAGTGAGCAACAAGCACCGCGTCTTCCTGCCCCCCGAGCTCTTGCTCTCAGACTACCTGGAGCAGATGAGCTGATACGCCGAAGGATGCCCTGCCCCTCGCTTGGTGTGCTGAAGGCTTTGTCCATCTGCTCCTGGCCTCTCCCAGTCGCTTGGTCCCTGTCACCCGGATAAGCCTGGTCTGCCGCTCGCCTCTCCCCTTGCGCAGCGCAGGGACCACAAGGCGCAGTGTGGATCGGCTCCCTCCATGTGCCCTGCTTCGGGGCTCTTCCCTTCCCCACCTCCAAGAGCAGATGCTCGAGATGACAGCCGCGATACGTGGTGCAGAGCAAGGGGCTTGCAGCCATGCCCTCCGTCCCAATGTAGCCCCGGGCCTGCTCCGAGGAACAGCGCTCTGATTCCCTCAGGAATACGTCGACTCGGCCCACAGGCTTGGTCACCGGCACGTGCACGAGGTGTGACCACAGTCTGGACAGCGCAGGGCTGAACATGGTGCACGCTGCCGTCCCAGCCTCTCCGGGTGCAGCCGAGGGGTGGAGAGGTGGGGTGAGACCTGCTCATCTTGTCACACCAAGGTGGAAGCGTTTGCTCAGCTGCTGGCATGCTTTCTGCAGAGGCCAGATTGTCTTTTTTTTTTTCCCAGGCCAGCGCTCTCTGTTCTTAATCTGGCAGAGAGACTCCAGGCTGCATGGTGCTGTGAGATATCACCATGCTCAGGGCGCAAGGCGTGGGCAAAGCAGGTGCCTATCTGCCGTGCTTGCCCTGTTTCCCTGGTTGCTGCACTATTTCCCAGCAGGAGCTGCTCTGCCTGGAAGTGTTTGTGAGTCTATTTATAGCCCAGATGCTTTTAAAAATGAGCAGGCTGGACCAAAACCACCTTTGGCACTGTGATGCTTCCGGGGTGATTTTGGCCCAGGTATTTCTATGATGAAATAGTTCCTCACAGCTGCTGACTTCCTCGGCTCAGATGTGGCTGAGCAAACGCTGAGCAAGTGGAAGAGCCTCCGATCTGTCGCCCTCTTGAAGGGGAAAGTGCTTTGCTTCAGGACCAGCAGTTTGACACCAGTGATGGAGCTTATGGTAAAGCTCAGCCCCTGCCCATCTCCTCAGTAAAGGGACTGAAAGCAGCTTTGTGAGAAAAGAGCTGCCTCGGTTCTGGAGTCACACCCAAGACCAAGGACTGGAGAGTGATCCAGAGGAGCAAGAACATTTGGACCTGGGTTGATAGGGACGGGAAAGAGATTTCTGCCTAAAGGGAAGCCTCTGGGCCTGAGCAGCAGGACTGGGCATCCCTTCCCCGGTCTGAGCTCCGGGACTCTTGCCCCGGTGTTTAAGCGCCGCAGCGGGAGGCAAAACTCTCCTGCAGAGCCCCCTTGGTCTCCCGGCCAGCCTGGTCCGAGCTGCTGCTGCTGCTCTGGTTTGCAGTTGGTGTGAGAAGCTGGTGCGCAGACCTGCCTTTTATATTTGGGGGGTAATGGGCTGTTTTTAAATGTAACATAGTGTGTCTTTTATATGTTTGTGTGTGTGCGCCAGCACAGCTCTGGGCTGTGTGGTCGGAGCTCCTGCTGGTTGCCCGTCTTGCTTGGCTGGGGCAGGGCTCAGCCTCCCGGCGTGGTCGTGCGGGACGGGCGAGGGTGCTTGTGGGTGTTGTGTGTCCTGTGTGTTGGTGCGTGTCTCTGCTATGTGTCGAGGGCTCCTCTCGTGTCTGTAGCAGCTAGAGACATGCAGGACGGCGGAGCTCGCTCGGCCGGGCAGAGGAGCGCTGCTGAGGACGGGGCAGCGGCGTGCTGAGCCGTTGCCTGCCGGGGATGGAGGGGGGCTGGGGGGGAAAGCCGGGAAAGTCGTCGCTCCTCTCGTCTGTTTGCGTGATGTGGAAACAGGTGGCGTTTATGCAGGAACAATAAACCATGGTGCTCCTGACGGCTGCTGGTGTTGCGTGCATGGTGTTGGGGCTGCCCTGGGGGTTTGGGAGTTGGGGCACGGGCTGGGGTTTGGGGCAGAGGTTGGGATGCAGGAGGGGGGAATTTAGGGAGCAGAGGGGGGACCCTCTTCTGGCTCTGCCTGAGAAAAGGCATGGCTGGGTGAAAAAAATATGGAACGCTTCACGAATTTGCGTGTCATCCTTGCGCAGGGGCCATGCTAATCTTCTCTGTATCGTTCCAATTTTAGTATATGTGCTGCCGAAGCGAGCACGAAACCCGCTGTCCCCCCGAAGCTATTTATAGCTCCCTCATTAGATAATACACTGGTTAGGGTGATACAGAGGTAGCGTCACTAGGCACTTTTGAATGCCATCTTAACAACTTCTCCTATTCTAAATGACTCACTTTTCTTTGATTTCGCCAGACTCGTCCAAATCCACCGGTTATAATTCCTCCCGAAGCGCCGGTGGATCCTGGGTAGCCCTCTATGTAAATTAGCACAGCTGTCTCGCCGAGGGGGCCTCTGTCTCGGGCTGCCCGCGGCAAGTGCCTGAGCGCCCCGCGCGGGGCAGGGCG